TCTCCTTTCTACTTTTACAGATCATTTATCCCCATATAGTACCCCCAAGCATCCAGAATAAAATGTCTAAGTACAAAGGCCACAGTTTGTGACTTCCTGCATTGTTGTTACCCTTTTCTAGTCTGGGAAAGGTTCCTTCCAGATCGTGTTCGCTGCTCCTGCGGCGGGATGTTGCCTTTCTGTACAGCTGTTAGTTCCAGCACAGGTGTTGAATCCTTCATTGACACTTTCTGCTCCAACTTTGAATGCCCCCTCCCCAAACAGCCCCTAAACTCACTGCAGAAGCCACAGTTCCAGCCACCGGGTCCCAGCCCCTGCAGCTGCTCTCAGAACCCTTTGCATGGCACTGCATTTTTTCTGAAGTGAGCAACACCTGCTGCAGTTGCTTCCCACCTGGGCTGTTTCCCTTCATCTGAAAGGGCAACAACCTGATCTATGAGGTGTTTTTAAAGGGGCCATGACCTTATTCGGTCTGCACAGTTTAGAGAGATATATTAAAAATGGAGATTTAAAAATAAATATATATTTGTCTTCACAACTGAGATTCCTTCCACTTTGCCCCCACTGCCTCTTGTACAAACTTTACAGTAACTATCATATTGAATTATAGTTATTTAATGTATGCACGTGTCAGAGATCGGAACCCGACACCCCAAAATATGGCATGTTGGCAATTGATAAAACCTCAGAAGCAAGGTCACTCTGATTTTCTTCCAACTTTCTTCCCTGAAGCATGATCATAAAGGAATTCTCTGACCTACCTTGCCTGAAAGTAGGTCATAAGACCCTCATTCCAGAGGGGTCCTGCCCTATACCTAGAAGCCAAGAAGAATCTGAATAAACAGGCCTTGCTAAGTTCCCCCCAGTTTATCACCAAAAGATCATGCCCCCTTTTTGTCCAACCATACTTCTACACAACTGCCCATTCTTCCTTGAACCTAAGCATAAAAATACAATTTTTCCTGGGTGTTTGCATCTTCATTTCTGAAGCCTTCTGGGTCATGTAAAAACTTTGGTTAAATAAATTTGTTAGGCCTTTCTCTTGATAATCTGTCTTTTGTTAGAGGGGTGTCGGCTGTAAACCTTGCAGCACGTGAGGAAACGATATTACTTGTTTCCTCTACACATGAATGTCTCCCATCCAGACTGTGTATTTCTTAAGGTCAATATGTCCTACTCCTCTCTGTATCCAAAGTATCTAATAGAATTCATATAGTGAATTCTGAGTAAATGTTGAAATGAACTAAATACCTAAGTGAGGGACTGTACTTGGGGTTGCTGACCTAATCTCCATTTAGGACCCCTTTTCCCCTGGTCACCATCAAACAACAGTGGCCACAGAACACAGTCCTGGCCGGTGAGATGTGGCAAAAGTCCTCTGGGTAGGGCTTCCAAGAGAATTTTTGTTTTCCTGCCAAAAAAGGGACAGACTGGGCCTGCCCACTTTCCGTTCCTACTTCCTTCTTTCTTCTTCCTGCATGGAACTCAGAAGTGAAGCCTGGCAGTGTAGCAGCCATCTTGTAATCATGAGGTGAGAAAAAGAGGACAAAACCAACACACGTGCTCTGGATGGAAGAGCAGAAACATAGGAAGAGCCCAGGCTTCTGATGGTAGTAGCAGCTACACCAGTGCTCAACTGCCTGCCTGCCTCTAGACATCTTGTTATAGAAGAAAAAGAAATCCCATATCTATCACTGGGGTTAAGTTGTACGTTATTTGCAGACAAACACATTTCCTAACTGGCATCACAAGAATGTTATGAAAAAGTATGCATTTAAAGCACCTAGTATTGCTCTTAGCACATAGTAGACACCCATAGTGAATGACTATGCAAACACTTGTGATATCCATGTAAATATTGACATGAATGAATCTCGAATGAATGAGTGAATGAATTAATGAATTTTTGTTTGCACAGAAGGATCATCTTCTAATAAAAACAGACTATTCCTTTACTTTAAATCATTTCCAATAATCTTATAATAGCTTTGTTTCAGACCCTGTAGACTATATATATTGGTCCTGGAGTTTATTCCCAAGGCTTACTTCCTCCTGTTAGAAAAAGCAGCCCTGTTGAAGCCACAAATCATGCAACAAACAGTAGAAACAGCCTCCTGGTGTTACCAATTCCCTGAGTGTCATATTTCAAGGATTCTCTTCTCTGTTAGGCAGAGTTGACGGGCGTGTTGCCTGCTCCAAGGTTAGTCTGGTGGGATTTGCTTCAGTTTTTTCTCTCCAACCCGGGTTCCCCAGCTGCTGTGTACACACGGGGTGTGCTGGTGGGCAGAGCCAGGACCTGAGGCATCCATGCCTGGGACAAGATAAGAGGCTTCCCCTGAGGGTTGGTGGTTACAATAGCCCCACGGATAGTTCCATTAAGGAAACTGGTTAGAATGGGAGCGAAGAGGCCAGGTGCAGTGGCTCACGCTTGTAATCCTAGCATTCTGGGAAGCTGGCAGGAGGATCCCTTGGTCTCAGGAGTTCAAGACCAGCCTGAGCAAGAGCAAGACCCCCATCTCTACAAAAAAAATTGAAAAATTAGCTGGGTGTGGTGGTGCCCACCTGTAGTCCCAGCCACAGGCAGGAGGATCCCTTGAGCCCAGGAGTTTGAGGTTACAATGAGCTAAGATGACATTTTTTAAACTTGGTTCAAAGTAGCTTGGCTTTATCTCTTGAGAAAGATACGTTAATGCCTGGCTCTGGGGTATACAATTTATTCTTACTTTCAAAATAATATAGGTGGATTTTTATCAGCTTAGATTTTAAAAATATTGAGCAGTTATGATATGCCCAGCACCGTGCAAAGTGGTTTTATATGCATTATCTATTTAATACTCACAATCCCTCTCCTATGGTAGGTGCTGTTATTCTTCCTATTTTACAGATGAAGAAATCAAAGTTCAGAGAGGACACGAACTTGCCCCAGATCACGCAGAGCCACAAATCCCACCTGGAGTGTCTGTCTCCAGAGCCGGCTTACCCATTCCAGCCATCCCTGTACTCTGTGCTTTGGACGTGGACAGCATAGTCCCCGATTGCCACTGCCCAAACCTGCCCTGCCAAGACTCGGGACACGAGGCTCCTGTGTCAAAGCCAGCACGGACAAGCACCTCTTCAGTATGACAAGGACACTTACGCCGAGGGGTGTGTTTCGGCTTGTGTCTTCTGGATCAAAGGCTTCAACCTGGTAAATGAATCCAGGGTTCACTCCTTCTACTACGTAGAGGTCTAGACCTACACCAGTGTCCAAAGTGGAATAAGGAACATTTTATTAGAGAAAGCAAATAGGGAATTCCAAAATCAGGGTAGCTGTACTCAACCAAAGGGAGCCAAGTGTGTTGGTATCATGGGAAGCAATAATAAAAGCCATGAGTAAGACAATGGCCAACTTTCCATTTATGGGAACTCATAAAGTGCTAGGGTTGGACTGAAATGATAGACTTGGGCGTTTTCAGTATAGGGATGGTGTTCCAAGCCATGAGCTTGGGTGAGATCATGTAGGAAGCTACTCCATGCTCTGGCCCCTTATGTTGTCCCTGTTCTGTGCAGACACAAACCACCCTCAAGGAGTCAGAGCCCACGGGGAGAATGAATGAGTCAGTCAATGACCACAGCACACATGGCTGGGCCTATGATGGGCTCAGCCCAGGTTCCTTCAGAATGATTCACCTGAGGTCTCTGGACCTCTGTTTCCTCCCTAGCACTGGAGGGGGCCACATGAAACCATGGAAGTGAAGGGCTTTGCAAAGCATTGGACATGATTATTGGGAGTGCTGAGCTGGAGGACATTTCATTTATTCCCTGCTCATTAAGCAGCTGCCTTTTCCAGGGAAACAGATGCTTGTTTATTTACTTTTTCTGTTTTTCTCTGTTCCCCAGGGCCCTCCCTGATGCCACCGTCTGGGCCCCAGTGCACACCCTGCTGTATTTTACCTTGTGCCAAGTTGCCTTGAAACTGAGGTGGCTCGTTCACATCTGTTACCTGGACAGTCAGGACCTGCAGGTCTGTGACACCAACGTCATCCTTAACATAAATCTGCAAGTCAAATATGTTTGGTCCTGTTTCAAAATCTAGTTGTTCCTTCCCAGTGGTGACAACCTACAACAAAATGCAGAATTGTTAGTAGCCACGGGAAAGAAGATCTGTTTTGTATGCATGCATTTTGCGAAGGGATTATTTCTAGGAAGGAAGCGACCAGCATCCTGGAGACCATCTTCCATTCACCGTCCTCCCAGCACAAGCCCTACGCCACTGCCCTGAAGGGACTGCATGGGGTGCTGCTTTTTGCAGGAAAGAAACATGTTCAGGAGACATCCTTGTGCAGTTGGCTGGAGATGGAATTGCAAAACTTGTCCCTACCTGGGGCTAGCCTCCTAGGCAAGTCCCTCGGCTACCCTGGATATAGTTGGATTTTCTCATTGCTAAGAAAGGATGCTGTGCTTCCCTGGGATTGCTAAATTACTCCATTCTAATTTTCCCAAGGCCACGTCCAAGAATGAACAGGAGAAGAAGGATACATCTGCATAAATAAGGAATGATATTTACTTAATCAACAGACTGTTCACTTTTTTATGCCTTTCCACATATTCTTTCATTGTCAGGAGGTTTCGTCCTCTGCACTGTAAGTATTTTGGAGACACCAAGAACCAAGGCCACAGAGGCATCGCCAGAATCTAGAGCTGTTGACAGCAGGAACACTGGTGGCCCCTGGTGGGAAGGTCCTGCTGAAGCTACCTAGAGGCCAGCCTGTGACCTCTCACATCTGTAGACACCTCCACCGCCACCAACTTAGCCTCTGGAACCTGCCGAAGGCCCAGAGCCCTTAGGGACATCAAGGACTAAATCTCATATATGTCCTCGATTATGCTAAGAGACCCTTTTGGTTATTAATACGACTGGGCCAGGTGGTGAGACATCCAGCTTTCTGCAGTGAAGAGAGCATGTGTCTCCAGACCCATTTCCAGCACTGAACTTCTGAGTGACCTTGAGAAAATCACCTTACCTTTCCTGATCTTGTCTTCATGTGATTGTAATTAGGAAAATTATTCTTGCCCTAGTTAAACAGCTGAAGTATAATACAAGTTATTCTAACAAAAAGCTAGGTCAGGGTACTAAAATCAGGGGGAGAAAAGTCCACTGTGAGGTGTGTGTAGTTGGAGAAGGCTTCGTGGAGGAGGTGGTAGGTGTCGTTTGCCTTTGCAAGTTCTAGATCGGTTAAGAGACGAGAAGACAGCCACAGACGTGCATGAGTACACGCAGTGGAGGGAGAAAGTGTGGAAGACGGTTGAGCAGAGAAAGAGGTGGTCTTGTGCCTACCTAGTAGACAGGGTCGGCCTGGAAGCCACATGAAGGGAGGTGGCCCAGTCTCCATGCTTCGCACATGACAGGTAAGAGGCAGCATGACACAGGGGTTAAGAGCGTAGACCCTGGAGCCAGACTGACTGGCTTCCAGGCCCAGCCTTCTCATGACTTAACATTTCTGTGCCTCAGTTTTCCCATCTGTAAAATGGGGGTAATAACACCTTCTTTATAGGGTTGTTGTGAGGATTAAATGAGCTAATCTGTGGAAAATACTTAGAACACTGCCTGGCACTGAGCAAGCACTCTGCAAATGGTGACTTCTGTTACCACTAGGCAGTCAAGAACTGTTTAAGGAATGGATGTCCACCAGAGCAGTGGACTTCAGGTGAGATGGTCTACTCTGTTTCCTGATTGAGACCTTAGCTTCCTACTAAGCCTGGAGCCCCCTCCTGCAAGGATAGATCCTTTACCTCAATATTACCAATTGCCAGCCCCTTCTCCTTGGGAACTAGCTCTAACACCCTAGAGAAAGGAAATAGAACAGTCCAAAAAATGGCCCAAAAATGTTATATCTTGAAGCAAAAGAATTGGGTTGCTATCAACAAAAATAGAAAAATTGTTTTTGTTGCTGTTGTCACCAGTATTCATTAAATGGGGTACACCAGACTCTTGCCAAGCCTTCTTGGGAAGTATTTCATTTCATCATCACCATGACCCTAGGTTGGTAAAACTTCCCTCATTTCACGTATAAGGAGACTAACTGGGACAGGGAAGGGAAGGAACTCGCCTGAGGTCACAGCGGGAGTGGTGGAGCCTTGGTTTTGCTGCGGGCGGGCAATCTGGCCTCAGAGTTTGGGTGAAAGACAGTTAAGTCTGGCCTTAGGTGAGTTAAGTTTGAGGTTGTTCAGGACAAGACTGAGCAAATTAGCACAGTGCTCCGGGCAGTAGATGGGAAAAGAGGGGACTTAGGCTCCAAGATGGGCAGGTGAAAGAGGGGCAGACACCGGCCTGCACAGGACCTTGGAGAGCGCCTCTCTTCGTGGCTGCTGGGCCGCACAGGCCCACACTCTTCCCCGATTCTCAGAGCTTCCTCCCCGGTGCTCTGAGGGGGCAACTGAGGCTCTGACATCTCTCTTGCTGGGCGGTACCGACCAGTGTGGGGGCGATGAACAAGCATGCTTGGGGCCAGCCTGCCTGATCGCAGCTCTCACGTCTGCCCTCTCCTACTGTGCGAACTTGGGTGACTTGCTCGACCTCTCCGCGCCTCGGTGTTCCCACCCTTGACATTCAAAGAGTAAGAGTGACAGTAAACCACTTCATAGTGTTGTTTGGGAGTTGAATAAATGAATTCACACAGTGTTTAGGGGAATTCCTGGCATATGGTAAATCCTCTGTGAATATGAGTTATTATCATCATCACTATTATTAATCCTCCTCCTCACCACCACCACCCCCAAAGTCTTAGCAGCTGTGTTCCAAAGCCTGGCCTCTTGCATGATATGGAGCCCACCCTCGGAAAGCACAACGGATTCGCAAGGCCAACAGTGACCTGACCTCTGGGCCAGAGGCCCTATAACCTCATCTCTAGACTTGTCGTCGAGCAGAATGTCAAGGCTACCCAAGAAGGAGCCAGGTTGTGCCACAGATACTGTCATGTTCGGAAGGCAGCAGGAGTGGCTCTTGTGAGCAGTTTGCGTTGAACAGTAGGATCTTCTTGGAGGGGTGGTTCATAATGTTGGGCAGTTTCTGGGAAGAAGCAACCAATTCTTTTATTTATTTATTTATTTATTTATTTATTTATTTAGATAAGGTCTCACTCTGTCAGCCAGGCTGGAGGGCAATGGCATGATTACATCTCACTGCAGCCTCGAACTCCTAGACTCAAGTGATCCTCCCACCTCAGCCTCACAAGTAGCTAGAACTATAGGTATGTGCCACCACACACTGCTAATTTAAAAAAATTTTTTTAGAGACAGGGTCTTGCTATGTTGCCCAGGCTAGTATCGAACTCCTGGACTCAAGTGATCCTCCCATCTTGGCCTCCCAAAGTGCTAGGATTACAGGCATGAGCCACCATACTCAGCCAACAACCAATTCTTTTTCTTTTTCTTTTTTTAGGCACCTAGGTAGCCTCGACCAAAAACCAATTCTTAAGAATAGCTTTGGGATTGTGAAACTGTGGCCCGTCCCAGTACCAACACAGGATTCTGGGCAGCTGTGTGCTGTGGTCTCAGGAGAACACAGGACTGGGACAATACACCAAACACTTGAGCCTAGATTAGTCGAGCGGCTAAGACAGGATGGAATTCTTCCTTGATTGACAGCCCTGCTCGAATCACATGAAGTGTGGGAAGGGCAGGTCCCGTGAAGAAAGATCTGGGAGCTCACCAAAACCGCAATAGACGTGCACGGCAATAAGGAAAAAGAGCCTGGGATTGGAAATAAGAAGACCTGAGTTAAGTTCTTATTTCATCTTTTGTGGCTATGTGGACAAATCTCTCAATCTCTCTGTATCTTATATCTAAAACAGAAATAAAAAATTCAAATAGTGATAATATTAGTGTTAGCTGTAACAAACAGGAGATCAGGTATGTGTGTGTGCTTAGGAACCACTATGCAAATTCGAAGGAACACATCATCATCATCGTCAAAGGCAGCGCACCATCGAGGCTGGGAATGAGATCTCCCTGGTGGAAACAACCCAAATCCCCGTTGATTGACGAATGGATGAGCCAAATGTGTGTGTCCATACAGTGAAATATTATTCAGCCATAAAAAGGAATGAAGTGCTGATACAGGCGACATGGGCGACGCCTGAAACTTTATGCTAAGTGAAAGAATCCAGTCACTAAAGACCACACAGCATACAATCCATTCATATGAAATGTCCAGAACAGGCAAACCCATAAAGACAGAAAGTAGATTTTTGGTTGCCAGGGACTAGAGGGATGAAGGAATAGGGGAGCAGTTGCTAATGGATACAGGATTTTGCTTTGGGGTGATGAAAGTGTTCTAAAATTAGATTGTGGTGATAGCTGCACAACTCTGTGAACACACTAAAAACCACAGAATTATACGATTTAAACAGGTGGATTATATATGCTCTATGAATTATATATCAATAAAGCCTGTTTTTAAAAATGAGAGCTTTGAAGCTATACTGTCTGGGTTCTAAGCTCAGCTACCAGCTAGCTGAGCAACCCAGGGCAAATTGCTTAACCTCTCTGTGCTTCATTTTCCCCATGGGTGAGAAGATACAATCCTCGTGATTGGAAGAGTATAAGAGCAAAGACATGCAAAGTCCTTCCGTCCAGCATAGGCGAGGTGCTCTGTAAGGGCAAGCATTCGGCAGGGCTGATAGGAGATGAGCAGCAGTTGTGAAGACAAGCCTGATGTCAAGGGAGTAGGCAGACAGCACGGTTAAGTCACAGAACCAGCATCTGGGGTCCAGGAATGTCAACCAGATGCCGAGATGGAGACTGACTGAGTGTGTGCTCCTCGCATACCTGAGGGCCCACCTTGGGGTGACGAGAATACCAGACGCTGGGGCTCTGGCCGCAAGTTGTGGGTTCCTCGGGACTCCCCTAGGGTCCAGATATGCACACTTTGTAAAAGCTCCCATAGTGACTGTAACGATGAGCCAGGTTTAAGAACAACTAGTATGAACCTCAGCAAAGCAGAGAGCCGAGACCAAGCAGGCCTGAGCCCACTGGGCCCAAGGACCCGGGGGATGGCAGGTGGGACAGTGCAGGGCTGGTGATAACCGCAGGAGGTTCCTAGGCCAGGTGAGGAAGGGGCGGGGGTGGGGGATACCAAAGTATAGGTAGGTCCAGACACCTGGACCCCGAAGACATGCTTAGAAGACTTCTGAGGTTACCAGCAGAAAACATGCAATGAGCGGGTTTGTCCTTTCTGTGGGGAAGGGACAACTTTGGAAAAGACTCAAATGACAAGAAAACAGAGCAGTGGTGGCATGGCTCTGGAATGTCCATGATCAAGTCTGAATTATCCAAGAGGAAACATTCAGACAGAAGGGCTGGACATTTAGACTTATATTTTTATTAAAGGATTCCAGTCTTCCTTTAAATGTCTCCTCTTAGATTTCCTTCTGAAAAGTCACAGAATTGCAGAAAGGCAAAGTCACCAGACAAAAGTTCGTGAGGGCATGGCTCTGAAGGAGCCAAGTTACCCGCCCCCCGCCCCCGCCGGAAGGCTTTGGTACTGAAAACACACCTAACACCTGTGAGGGTTGTTGGTAATGAGAAACAGGCTTCTATTTGTGACAAACTGAGCATAAATAACATTCACGTGGACGGTACTAAGTGGGAAAGGCCCAGAGACTACAAGTGCATCTAGCACAGAGGGCTCTGGGATGCCTCAAACAGGACTCCTGGATCTTATAAGAAGGAAGATTAAACCAGGGACAGGGGAGGAATCATCACTGATCTAGAATCCCATCCACCCCATTCACAGGACCACATCTTTGCAGACAACTCTCGCAGAAGGTAAGAGACTGCTTACCTCAAAGTCAGTTCCTGACAGCCGATTGACCCTGAAGGCTTCAGTGAGGGGACTTGAGTTGATTATCAGGGGAAACCCGGGGATCACAGGTGACAACGATGCTGATAAATTTACAGAAAACTTGTGCACTGAAGTCTCAGGTGGAGAATTCTCTGCCACGTTGCCTGTAGCAGGTAAGTGGGTTAGGTAGAGCGCCTCTCGCCCTGTGGATTTAAAAAGGATGCAAAACCACATGAACACCGAGCCTTCTGCTGGGAACAAGGACTCAACAGCTTGGTCTGTGGCTTCAATTCGTGGCTCAGGGCAACGAGGGGACCTGGTCACTCCCCAAGAAGAAACGCTCCTGCCAAGTGCTGAAAATGGACATGTGAGATCTTCTAGGGGCCAAGAAAACAGACACCACCAAACGACCACACAATCTGCTTCTGTCTCTCAGTAAATAAAGCTGCTGTCTTTTCCTGTCTCCTGCTTCCGTTCTCTTTTCTCCCAGGCTTTGTGAAGAGCCAGGGAAAGAGAAATGTGACACCTTAGGAGACAGACGCCCACTCAAAGGACCTAGTCTGGTAGTGACATCCTCTCTCTTGCAAGGGCCCAGCAGTTTACAAGAGTTTGTTTTGCTTCCCTGCGTCAGTGTTAGATCCAGGAGGTCCTCTGAAATTGGGTGTGCATGACAGGAGAATTCCAAAGTCATGGTCGGGCCGGGCGCGGTGGCTCACGCCTGTAATCCTAGCTCTCTGGGAGGCCGAGGCAGGCGGATTGTTTGAGCTCAGGAGTTCGAAACCAGCCTGAGCAAGAGCGAGACCCCGTCTCTACTAAAAATACAAAGAAATTAATTGGACAACTAAAAATACATAGAAAAAATTAGCCAGGCATGGTGGCGCATGCCTGTAGTCCCAGCTACTCGGGAGGCTGAGGCAGGAGGATCGCTTGAGCCCAGGAGTTTGAGGTTGCTGTGAGCTAGGCCGACGCCATGGCACTCTAGCCCGGGAAACACAGTGAGACTCTGTCTCAAAAAAAAAAAAAAAAAAAAAAAAAGTCATGGTCGATCTCCCCGCGCCCATTAGCAATCTAAAGGACAATTATTTGCTATTATCGAACACTACGGGCATCCTGTGGAAAATCAGTCAGTATTTCTTGGTTGATAAATTAACTCCCGTTTCACAGAGGAGGAAATAGGAGACTCAGAGAGGGCACAGAGAGGGCCTTGGGCTGCATTACAGACAGGGAATTTTACAATTTAAGAAGTGTGTTTCTTCCAGGAAAGCCCTGGGACCGTTCTAAGGTCTCCAGGACACACAGCAAGCCTTTGTTAGTGCGGAGGACAGCAACAGGCCATGTTTTCTCATGCTTCTATAATGATGGTTACCGTAGTGGATTCAATAGTGTCCCCCAAAAGATTCACGGTCACCAAGAATGGCAGAAGTTACCTTATTCGGAAATAGAGTCTTTGCAGGTGTAGTTGAGAGGAGTTCACACTGGATTGGGGTGGCCCAAAATCCTGCCACTGGCGTCCTCATAAGAAGACAGGACACACACAAAGAGAAAAAGGCCATGAAATAACAGACACAGAGATTGGAGAGATGCAGCTACAAGCCAAGGAATGGCACGACCACCAGAAGATAGCAGGGAGGCAGGGAGCATATTTCCCCTCAGAGCCTCCAGAAGGAACCAACCCTGCCATTACCTTGATTTCAGACTTCTGGTCTCCTGAACTGTGAGAGAATGAATTTCTGTTGTTTTAAGCCACCCAATTGTGGTAATTTGTTATGGCAACCCTAGGAAACTAATACTATGACCATTTATCCAATGTTTCAAGTAAGTGCATAACGTAAAATCCTTTCTTTCATTTACTCTTCAAACAACCCTCTCAGATTGGTATCAGTGACATCATTTTACAGATGAGGAAACTGAGCTGAAAGAAACACAGCAAATAGTAGATAACAGAGCCACGACTGACACGGAGGCCCTCCTTCCTAGCCAGCTTCCCTCCTTCCTAGCCATCTTCCCCCCTTCCTAGCCAGCTTCCCAATCTTGGCCACCATCAGCCACTGGGGACAAAAAACCTGGAATAGCAGGAGGTGCAAGGGTGGATAGGAACAGCAGGGGGACCTGTCCTACTGAAAGGCATAAAATTTCTAGAAACAAACAGGCCATTCTAGGAGGATATTTTTATTTCAGTTAGGGTGGAAGTGCAGAAGAGTACACAGAAACGTGGGAAAAATTGAAATATAAGCACATTCACTGACACAAGCTTTTATAAGTCTAAAATCACCTTATTTTGTTTAGAGACTAAAATGCATAATGCATAAGGTATTGTTGCTCGCAGAATTATCAAGTTTTACGGACAAGGACTGTGCAAGGACTCAGAAGTATCAAAACCGCTGAAGTTTTGGATGATGTGAATAGGAATAGATTTTCTTATTCTATTAAAATTGACTTTAATATTATAGCATTTTTGTGGTTAAAAACCGGGAGCACAGGCCTGGCACGGTGGCTCACGCCTGTAATCCTAGCTCTCTGGGAGGCCGAGGCGGGCGGATTGTTTGAGCTCAGGAGTTCGAAACCAGCCTGAGCAAGAGCGAGACCCCGTCTCTACTAAAAATACAAAGAAATTAATTGGACAACTAAAAACATATAGAAAAAACTAGCCGGGCATGGTGGCGCATGCCTATAGTCCCAGCTACTCGGGAGGCTGAGGCAGGAGGATTGCTTGAGCCCAGGAGTTTGAGGTTGCTGTGAGCTAAGACCACGCCACGGCACTCTAGCCCGTGCAACACAGTGAGACTCTGTCTCAAAAAAAAAAAAAAAAAAAACCGGGAGCACAATAGCATGCTTGGAATATTTAGAGATGAAAAACCTCTCCAAAATAGTTTTTGGAAATGAACATAACAATTCATGGTTTCGATGGGTCAGGTGTTGTAGGCACACTTCCGTTCAGGTGTTCTCTCCCCACGAGTGACAGTCACCCCACCAGACAGTCACCCTGCCCTGTTCACGAGAGTGTTTCCTCACCGGAGAGCCATACACGAAATGAAAGGTTGGCAGTTTGCCTCACAGGACCCCACCTTCTCACCCGTACTCTTCCCCTCGCTCTCCCCGCCTCCCCAGGGACTTGTGCCCCTCCAGTCAAGAAGCAAAGATAAAGATCGCACTTGCTATGTTTTTCTCAAGAGTAGCCTGGCGTAAGGTAGTGCCCATCCCAAATGAATAGACTAAAGTAACCACTTGCATTTACCAAGCACCTCCTCGCCAGGCATTGCACTAGCTGCTTCATCACACTCGCTGCCAGCACAATCCTACAATGTAGGTATTGCTGTCACCGTGTCACACACCTGAGATCATACGCTCAGCCAGTGGCCGTGGTGGGCGCTGGCTGGCTGCATCTGGATCTTTTAGGTAACAGACTGCACAGCCTGCTGCAGGCAGGCAGTTGCTCCATGCCTGTCACACGACCATGCATGTGTGATGCATCATGGTTAGCTAGGACCTGGGGACACTGCAGCTACATGGCTCTGGGGGCTGGTAAGAAATCGGACCTTGTACCCAGATGTTGGATCTGGATGATGTGATCTGTAAGAGGCGGTTTGGGGAACAATGTAAAGAATTGTGCTAGAGTATGAGCTGGACGTGGGCACAGGGCTTTCCACAGCCTCACCCTGAACGGGCAGATCACGGTGGCCCCCAACCTTGGTGTATCTCTTTTGGGGAACTGGGGAGTCTAGAGAAGCCGTGCTCCCCAAATATTGCCTGCTGACAGCTCCTGGTTTGCTCTGCAGGGAGTGTATCCATTGATTTTTTGAATTGATCTGTAACTTTGATAAGACTTGGGTCTGAGAGACCAATTCCGAGAAAGATCCAGCATTCCAATCCAAGGCATTTGACTCCTGGGACAGCTCCGTGCCGCCTCCTTAATTTATAGAGCTTCTCATAGTCCTCCTTGAATGGTCATATTTTGGGGAGATAGTTTGGAAGAAGTGGATGTATCCAGTGCCCCTCAAGAAAATCGCATTGGGAGCTGCCTGCTCCATCTATGGCTGAAGCCAGACTGTCCTTAGAGATGGCCTTTCTGCTGAGAGTCTTGCTGGAAATGTTCTACTCTTCTTCTGGTGGCCTCTCCTCACAGGGTAGTGCCATGTGTGCCAGGGCCATGCTACTGAATCCTAAAAACTTTAAAACAGACACCCTGGAGGTACTGATAAGAAAGGCAGCCAACGTGGGCTCTCCTGATGTTAGTTCAATACCCTGTTCCTCCAGCTTCCTTGCTATTAAAAAAGGAGTAGTAATAGTAGTAGTAGCAGTAGCAGCAGCAATAATAATAAGTGGCTGGGTCACACCCTAAAAATAAAGCAATTAATAAAATACAATATTCACAAAATGTTCAACCCATTTGCTATACAGATGAGTTTAAGTGATGTGCCCAAAAGCACCCAGCTGATCAGCGGCAGAGGGAAGGCTAGAGGCCCATGGTGGCTCTCCCTAAGACACTGTGTGATTTCCTTCCAAGGCTGGTCTTCCAGGCTTTCTTGGTGGTCTGAGTGCCAGAGAGCAAGAAGGAGGCTTTAATCGAATTTGACTTACACATACATCTTAATTAAGAATTAAATTAGAATTGCTTGGAGCATACACTTTGGAAAAGAAAAAGCAAGCAAAAGATTTATTATCAGTCACCGAGCCCACTGACACATCTTGCCTGTGGTTGAGAACTGGATACATGATGTGCTCACTGGTTTCCCTTGAATCACTGCCTTTCCAGCAATGGACCAGTGGAGCCTGCTCTGGCAATCCTGTGTTGGGATAATTGAGGCCTCCCCAGCCTCAGTTAGAGGGGAGGAAGCTGGCCACCCTGGGCCTCTGACCCCTAAAGTGGTGATGTGGGTCCAGGTTGTGGGTGATGCCATCTGCTTGACCTTATAGCTCTGCTTTCAGTACACAGACAGGACCCACCTGAGACATCACTCAGTAAATACTTCTTCACTCTCTCTAGTACCTAATCAGACCAGTAATGAAAGAAATCAGTGTTGAGAAAAGAGCAAGGCATCTGGCATTAGAGCCCTTGCTTCAAGCTTTAGCTTTGCCATTACTTGACTGTGTGACTTTGGGTGGGTCCCTTGACTTCTTTGGGGATCCCTGCCAACTCCATCTCTCAGGGCTGAGGTGCTACATTAACAGTGGCTGTTAAATGGGGTTCTATTGTTAAAGAAGACTCACAGGATCTAAATGACAATGCTTACAAATCTAGTTTTATTATAGAAAAAAGGTATAGTATAGCAACAAAATTAAAGTAAGGACGTGCATGACAGCTGAAGGTGGCCTCATGGCAAGAGCTCTGCAGAGGCCAAGTGCAGGCTCTTGTTGTCCTCTTTTCTCTAAAGGATGGCAGGATGCACTTACTTGGATTGAGACCCACCAACATATGCACAAATACCTTGGAACCATGGAATCTCTGCTGGAATTTTTTTTTTCTCTCTCTTTTTTTCCTTTTTGTTATAGGCACGTTCTTGCTACATAACCAGCCTCAACAGTAAAGCCCATCGAGGTCCACATGGAGACCAGGTGCAAATCATCAATCTCACTGTTACCAATAAGAAATGCTTACAAGCTGGTATAAACCATTTGGAAACTTCTAAGACCCATGGTTAGAAAGCAACACTATTAATCAGCAAGTTTCATGCAGGAACTTTAGCAAGACAACTCAGGCTAATACCAAGCCTACAGGAACTCACTCTCACAGCACAGGTACCATATAAGAAAATGCATATACTTGATAAACTATAAAGCATTATCAATGTTGTTTTGGTATATGCAATATCTTCCTATTTCTTTAATTTCCACAATGTATACCTTTTAATGTTCATGTGGATCTTCCAGCTCCCAGGGAACCCTTCTTTCATTAAACATCTGGCATTTTTCATTTCCATGAGAATAACACAAAAGCTAGTTCCCTGGAGGCTGTCTCAAAACATAGATAGTTTCTGTATACAGTGGATTTAAATATACCTTTGCGAGGTCCTGCATCTTCTGGGAATTGCACAGGATCCTTTGGTGCTGATGAAGCCAGAAAACTATTTTGTCTCAACTCTTTTCCACTGGCACAGTTGAGAGATTTGTCTAGTTTATGTTCTTGAGGGGCCTTCCTTTGTAAGTCATTGTTGGAATGGGACACTGTGCCGTCCCAAAGAGAAACTCATTTTCCTCATCTTCATAAGAGGTGAGAGGATGGTAGCTAATCTAAATGTCAATATTAAGCAGGAAGATCTAAAGCCCTGCATTTGGAGAGTATCAGTAAATGTGGGGGTTGGGGGCAAACCACACTAGACTCAAAGAGGGATGATGATCAACAAATATTTATTGGATACCCTCTATGTATGTCACACTCAGGGATAAGAGAGCAACAGGAGATATGAAGCTTATTATTGCAGGGCTGACATTCTAGTTGAGGAGACAGAACAGACACATAACAGATGAATTACGGTATGATAACTCTTGTTACTTTTGGCCGAGCACTTGTTAGGCATTGTATTAAGCTCTTGGTACATAGTCCATGTGCAGGCAAGAGGAGCTACCGGGTGCAACAGGAAGAGGGCTCATCAAGAGCTAGATCAATCTAGGAAGGCTCCATGGAGGAGGTGGGGCTTGAGTTGGGCCTTGAAGGAAACATAGGAGTTAGACCAAATGAAAGGAAAGAGGATATTGTGAATATGTTACTTTATTTGAGATTATTGCGGTGATGTCTGCTTCCAACACCCTGAAAGCAGGTGCTAATGTGGCTGCTCCCACTAGAATCCTCTGTAAGTCTGGTGTTGGAGAGTAAGGGTAATGATCAGGTTCTCAGACACAAAAGAGGGTGAGAGAGAAACAGTCTGCATCACAGCAGCCCTTCTGAAAAATAGGATTTGACCTATGGAAGCAAAAGCATGGTACAGCGCATGGTCTTTTGGGGAAGGAGAGATTCGAATGTGATTTTTTTTTTTTTTAAATAAGAAATCTCAAGTATTTCTTGCAAACCTTTGGGATGTGTTTCCTTCACACATCTGATGATAAAGTTCCAAATGATAATGTTCAGTATGAGAAATCGGGTTCTTCCTACCCTCACTCTTTCCCCAATGACAATAAGTGTCACCTCAACTCAAATGATTATGGCCCTAAAAGCCCACATTTCTGGGACAAATCTCAAACGTCTACCTCAAGTGAGAGTCTGAACTGTTCAAGGCCCACTTCATATTGACAGTTCCTTCTGCCAAGTCTAAAAGTCCAAGATGGAAGAGGGCTCAATATAAGGAAACCCAGTTATTTACTTCTCTTATTAGCTGATCAAAGAGGAAAATCAAATGGTCATTTCCATAGATCTGCACAAAGCATTTGATTTAAAAATCCATTTTGACTTAGAAATACTCTAAATAATATAAGAATAAAAGCTGCTGCCTCTTTAACATATAAAACATTTGTCTCTCACACCAAAAGCTACCATCATGTTTAATGGTGCTAAAGGAAAAAACTCAAACTCTGTAAAATATTAATAATGTAAAGAGGTTTATTCTGAGCTGAATATAAGTGGCCAATGGTCCAGGGAGCCATACCTAAGAAACCTTGAGTAAGAGGTCCTGAGGCGGTCAGGTTATAGTTTGGTTTTATACATTTTAGGGAGACAGGAATTGCAGGTAAAATAATAAATCAACACATAGAAGGTATACATTGAATTGGCCTGAAAAGGCAGGGCATCTCTAAGGTGTGGGGGGTGGGGGTAGGACTTACAGGTTATAGATGGGTTCAAAGATTCTTTTCTTGTAATTGGTTAAAGAAATAAAGCTTTGTCTAAAGATTTGGAGTCAGTAGAAAGGAATGCTTGAGTTAAGATAAAGGGGTCTGTTCATCAGCGAACAAGCCACAATATACTCAAAGTGATCTGTTAAGCAAATTGATGGCCTGAAGGTACGATTTAACCTTTGCCTTGCATAGCCTTGGGTGCAGTTTGCAATTAGTCTAAACTCCAAAAGGGAGGGGGCATAAGGAGGCATGTCTGACCTCCCTTTCCTTTATGGCCGGAACGCAGTTTGAGGTTTTTCTGGCCAAGAGGGAGTCTGTTCAGTTGGTGGGGGGCTTAAGATTTGATTTTTAGTTTACAACGGGAAACAAGCCAGGAACGTACACTCTTATCATTATTTAACAATGCTCAGAAGGCATAGGCCTGGCAATTAGATAAGAGAAAGAAATAGAAGGTATAGGAATAGGAGAGGAAGAATATAAATGTTCATTCTTTCTAAAACACATGTGAATCAACTGAAAAATCACGGCAAATAATAAGATAATTTGTTAACAAACTTCCATACATCATACAATAATCAATTAAAAGATACAAGGGAAGAAAAGATTCCATTTATGAGTGTAAAAAAAGAAAAAGTAAAAGAAAGAACTAGAAGTAACCACAATCAGAATGTGCAAAATCTATATGAAGAAAACTTTAAAATACTCCTGAAGAAAACAAATGAAGACTTGAACAAGTATCTAGAACTCTGTTCTTGGATTAGGAAGACTCAACATCATAAATAATAACCACCAACACGTACTAAGCATTTACTATGTACCAGACGTTCCTCTAAGGATTTTACCACATAACTCATCAAAGATGTAAATTGTCTGTAAATTAATCTGCAAATTTAACAAAATTCAATTCCATGCATTATGCATATATTACCTATTCAAAAATAAAATTTAATTTAAAAAGCTCAATTTCAATAATTCAAGCTGACAACATTAAAAAGATCTAAGATTCTTGATGCTCTTGAATGAGGAAGAGGCATGTAAGAATCACTAGGTTGAACTTTTGGCCCTTCTTTCAGAAGGCATCTGCTTTGCACAAGACAAAGACGATAGCCCATCAGTGCCTCAGTTTCCCTGCAGGATAACTTGCCAACCTTAGGTTGCTCCACAAGGCTCCAGAGAAGGTCCAGAATCTCCAGAAAGGCTGACTTGACACACACACAAAGTTCTGCTATGAAAGTTGTTTTCCCAGCCTGAGACTGGGAAAGAGTTCCAGTGCAAGCCAGTTAACACAAGAGGGAAAGTGACGTCTACACAAAGATTAAACTGTGGCTCTTTCAGCATCCCTCTTCTCCAGGGTACCCCTAATGGCCCCCCAAGGCTCACTGCAGATGAGCCCATAGTTGAGCGAGGCCTCCTAGAGGCAATTCCCTCTTTGGGGACATTGCCATACAATGGTATTGTGCAAACCATGGAGGCCAAGCAAGGTTCCAAAGCAAAGTGGACTTCCTACCTGACAGGGCGCCCAGGAGAACGAGGAGGGTGACTGCTTCCTGCATACTTGATGGTTCACGTCTGTGTGTGCTTCCAGCACATTCTCCAGGACCTGAATCCCACCTCACACCCCAGGCTTATTCCAGATGCTACTCAGCTTCCCTTCCTGGTTTGGTTGCCATGCAAGAACTCAAACAGAGGCTTGGATGGTAACTAAGGGAGACACTAAACACCACAGAACTGTTTGTTCTTTGATTACCTGCTTCTGTGACTGTGTGGTACTCAAGAGGCCAACCGGGCAGTCCTGGTCAGCTCCGTGTGCATCTTAAATGTCCATATTCACTGTGTGTCTCAACAGAGGGGTCCAAAGGAGGAGTCAAACGAGCAAAGAAAGAGGTGAGACGACTGTAACAGCCGGACATGCGAGAAGTACACCCACAATGGTCTCAGTCGTCCTGTATCCAGGCTCGTTGTCATTCCCGGAAGCAGGGGAAGTGGGGATTTCTGCTGTCCTGAATTGATGAGTTGGACTCAGGCTTGGGAACCAACTGGCTCTTGTTCTAAAGAGAAGAGCCAAGAGCTGGGACTAGACCCCTCCTCGAGGCTGACTCGTGGTAGTAGACCCTGCCCTTTGACTCCGGTCCTGCAGGAAGCCTGTGGAGGAAGATTATGGGAGTCTGAGTCTTCTGTCCACTGGGGAGGGAGACAGCCCATCCCTCAAGGCAGGTGCTGGCTTTCATGAAGCTTTTATGCCCCACACAACCCTGCGCCAGGGCACAAGGCATGGCATGTGGGCGAACCCGGGCTGGGGTCTAGCCTGCACTCAGGAAAAGGGCAACGGCAGGGCAGAGGGAGGGTGGCAGTGGAGCAGCCTGTCCCCCTCCGTGGTGCAGTAAGAGCAACGGTGGACACAGTGGAAGGCAGCTGGATGTGGACCATGGCTCCCATTCCTCTGCCTGCTGGGGGAGGGGCCCAGCAGCCCAGGACTGGTGGCAGGAATGGAGTGAGGGGCTGAAGGGCTAGCCAGAACCTCCCTGTCAGGACATGAGCAGTGGGGAGACCCCACAGGCGCTCTGAAAACCACACATGTGCCCCACAAGCGCACCAGCTTTGAGCACCTGCTATGCGCAGGTCACCACTGGCCAGCTGGTCAGTGTAAGCCAGAGGACCCGGAAGGAGCCTTAGCGGGAGACAGCAACAGGGCAGCTACACAGACACCACCCTCTCCCACTCCCTCCTCTCCCTCTGTCCTGTCCACGCCAGGTGGAGAGGAAGGAGCAGCTCTAGCCAGCCACACCACCCAGCCCCCAACGCTGAGCCTCAGCCCCAGCCTCAGGGGACGGAGGTGGCAGGAGAAGTTGAGTTTTGAGACAGAAGCTTTAAACTGTGGAGGACTAGGAATGTGACAAGAAAGCAAGATGTTGAGGGGCAAGAAAGGGAAATTTAACAGAGGCAGCTGAAAACAGTGAATGGAGAAAAAATAAAACCATCTCAGTTCACACTCACTGAGTGGAGACTGCTAAGTAAGCTGGTTACGGCCCTTCCAGGCAGAGGAAGCCAAGGCTCAGAGAGCATGGACTTGCCCCAGCCCAAGCAGCCTGTCAGTGTTCCCTGCTTCCCTCCCTCCACACCTCACAACATCCTTGCAGCCTCCAAGCACCTCCCGCTGCTTCCTGTCCTGGGTTATAGCCCCCACCCTGGCCTGCTGCCCTTGCCTCTGGCCCACAGAAACTGTCAGGTTAATTTCCCCAAAGTACAATTTTCATCATTCACTTTCCTGTGCAAAATAACAATCAACCTATAAACAGAAGGAAGGGTAGTAAGATTCGGAACATTAGTCTATAGGTTTCTGTCTGAAGTAGGTAGATGGTAACAAATGGAGTTTTGCTGTGTGACCTCAGGCAAATTACCTAACCTTTCAGAATCTCAGTTCCACTCACTTCTATAAATCAGGGAAAAGAATCCCTGCCTTGCAGTATTATCACATGCAGCACAAGAGATGATGAAGTGAAAAAAACTGGCCCGTACTATGTGCTCTAACAAGACTATTTTTTCCTAATAGGACAGCTAGATGACCACGGGAAGGGCTGAAACGTAGTAGGTACTCAACATACATTGGCTGAATAAAAAAAGCAATAAACAACAGTTGCCAAGTTACCAATTCTCACCTCTCCATTTTTCCTGTCATATTAGTTACCGTAAATAATCCATTTCATTATGCATAATTAAAGCTGAAGTGATGGCCCAGATTAAGTTATGGAAAACGTCAGAATAATTAAACCTTTGAGTTAAAGAAATTCACATCTGTTTAATTTTCAGCCTGACTACACAGTGTTTTTCATGTTGTCCTGGTTGCACCAGGATGGTGTAAGTCTCCCCTCCCACCCGTCCCTGGTTCCAGGGAGCATGCGGGTTGTATTTCAGAATTTGTTGTGGGTATTTTCTCCTGTAATCACAGCTTCTGTTTTCAGCCCCAAGGTTGCTTCTGCCATTGCCAAGGGCTGTTGCCTGTTGTCAGTTCCCGTCTCCCCCCGAAAGCACGTGGTCCCAGCTGGGCCAGAATCGCACAGAGGGTGAACAGGCTCTGAGGTCCCTTATTCTCTTGTCCCCTTCCTTCTGGCATGCCGAGCCGTCCGGGTTCTACGAGGTCTCAGCCGGGTGGATGAAGGGGGCAGCGCTGAGGCAAGGCCAGGTTCGCTGCGGCAGGCTCTCGTGCAGCTTCACGTGCAAGGCCTGGGAGCCTTCCCTACATCCTATCTGGCAGCGGTGAGCCAGGCCCTTAAAGTATTTTAAGGGGCTTCCCTGGAAACCAGCCACTGCAAGTGTCTAATTTGCTAGCTGAAGAGTTGTATTCCAAACATTTCTTGACTTGGAACTTGGAACACGAATTCCTACGAATGGATGGTTAGTGACCTACAAACCGTAGGACGTACAATCATGTGCTGCACAACAACATTTCAGCCAATGACAGACCACATACATGATGGTGGCCAGATAAGATTATAACGGAGCAGAAAAATTTCTATCGCCTAGTAACGTCGTAGCACAACGCATTACTCATGTGTTTGTGGTGACGCTGGTGTAAACAAACCTACTGTGCTGTCAGTCAAAAAAGTCAAGCGCATGCATCACGTATAGTACGTAATACTTGATAATGATAACAAATGACTATGTCAGTGGTTTATGTGTTTACTTTTTATCATCATTTCAGAGTGTACTCCTACTTATTAAAAAAAAAAAGTCAACTGTGAAACAGCCTCAGGCAGGTCCTTCAGGAGGTGTTCCAGAAGAAGGCCTTGTTATCTTAGGAGATGACAGCCATGTGTGTTATTGCCCCTGGAGACCTTCCAGTGGGACAAGGTGTGGAGGTGGAAGACAGTGATATCGCTGATCCTGACCCTGTGTTGGCCTAGGCTACTGTGTGTGTTTGTGTCTTAGATTTCAACAAAAAAGTTTTTAAAAATTGGTAAAAAAGTAAAAATTGTTAACAATAGGGAAAGGCTTACAGTATAAGGATATAAAGAAAATATTTTTGTACAGTTGTATAATGTGTTTGTTTTAAGTGTTATTACAAGAGTCAAAAAATATTTAAAGTTTATAAAGTAAAAAAGGTACAGTAAACTCATGTTAATTTATTATTGAAGAAATAAAAATATTTTCCATAAATTTAGTGTAACCTAAGTGTTCATGCAGTCTGCGGCAGCGAACGGTGATGTTCTGGGCCTTTGCATCGCTCAGCCCTCACTGGCTCACCCAGAGCCACTTCCAGTCCCGCAAGCTCCATTCATGGGAAGTGCCCTGTACAGGTGTACCTTTTTTTATCTTTCATACCATATTTTTACTGTACTTTTCTACGTGTAGATACGTTTAGATGCACGAATACTTACCATTGTGTAACCATCGCCTACAGCGTTCAGCACAGTGACACGCTGTGCAGGTTTTTGTGTCCTAGGCCGCACCATCTGGGTGTGTGTAAGTACACTCTGTGATGTTTGCGGAACGACGAAATCACCTGACAATGCATTTCTCAGAACGTCTCCCCGTCATAAGCGACATGTGACTGCACGTGAAACACTGCGGACTTAAGAAGAGATAGAGAAGCGCTGCTGTGACCTGCGATGGCTCCTTTAGCGGCCCGGTGGGCACTGGTGGGATGGGCCGCGAGCCCCGTCACCTCTGTGTCTGTGAGGCAGTTCTGGTCACAGTTCCCACTCGTTCAGCGCTGGAACTACGGCTTCCAGGAATCCAAACCCTAGGGCAGGACACCCCGGTTCCACCATTCAAGCACCCGACCTGCCAGGACCCCTTGGGGAGGGCACTCGGGGCAGGCCCAAGCTCACGGCGATGGCACAAAGCTGCGTGCAGGAATGGAAACACGCTGCCCCCGTCTTGTCCCTGTGGGCCATGCTTTGGCACTGCACTTCGGCGATTCTCTTACACATCTGTCTCCAGCCAGGCTTGGCAAGTTTTCCAGGCCAGTGATACTTCTTGGCAGCTTTGCATCCTAATTGCTTCACATTTAACACTGCACCAGAGGCATAGTGAGTGCTCACAAAATTATGGAATTTCTGGATTTAGTTTATGCTCCCTTCCCCTGTGCCATCCTCTCCTACCACTCCACCCCAAATTCCCACCCAGTGACAGGCCTTCAGCTCTTGCAGGGAGGGAAATAAAGTCCCACAGCCCTCCTGGTTCCCGCACCCAGGAACGCATTCCCCGACTGGCCCTGAGGACCCACTGGCAGGGCCCCTGTCCTGGCTTCAAGGGTGTAAGAGTGACTGAGAATGTCTTCCCTGGGGCTCAGCCCCCCTGACTCCAGGGACAGGACCCTAAAGGCCCAGATGCTGGTCTGTGTGGGTCTGGGCTGCCTAGCATCTGGGTTCGTGCCTCCAGGAAACCCCGGGTCATTCTTATTTTTTTTTTTATAACAGCTTGATTGAGATGTAATTCATACCCTACAATGCGCTCATTTAAAGTGTACAATTCAGTGGTTTTTAGTATGTTCACAGAGTTGAGCAACCATCACCACAACAATTTTAGAACATTTTCATCACCTCAAAAAGAAACCGTTTCCCCCTTAGCAGTCACTCCCAATTTTCCCCCAACTCCCACCACCAAACCCTGGCAACCACTAATCTACTTTCTATATCTGCAGATTTCCTTATTCTGGGCA